CCGCCCGCCACCTGCTCCCTCTGCGAACAAGTAGCGCCAAACGCCTCTTCCCACATCCCCTCCCACTCTGTTTATCTGGGAAACGCAGAAAGTTGGTGCTTTCCCGCAGGGAAGGGCGCTCCCGGCCCCGGGGAGCCGGCAGGGAGGAGCAGGATGTCACCGCGCCGGGAGGCAGCGATGAAGAAAAAAAAAAAAACAAGGCACTAAGGTCTGGTTGTGCTTTGGGTTTGAGCCTCTGAAACGGGGATTTGCTCTGAAATATTTGTGCAGCTGAGCAAACTCGGGGCGGAAAGTGCCGGGAGCAGGGGAGGAGGGTGCTTGGATATCAGCACTTGGTTTCTCCTGCCCCGCGGTGCTGTAGCCAGGGGGGTTTGGGTCCTTCAGAAGGGAGGTGGCTGGGTCAGATTAAGGCTAGGAGCAGCTCAGAGAGGTCTCAGGTCCTGCCCAGGGCCAGGCAGGCTGAGAGGACAGGTCTGCCTGGAGGAGGAGCAGGGCAGGGCAGCAGCAGGGTGAGCACCAACCCTTGTTCTGCACCCCCCTGTGTACAGCACGGTGGGCAGAGAGCTGGGCATGACCCCATCCACCCCTCCTGGTGCCCCCACATCCCACCTATAGGACCTGGCTGAACAGAACCTGGACACCAGTCACCCCATGCTTCAGGTACCAGATTGTTCCCCACCCCAAAGAGGCTTCACCTCTTCAGGCAGCTCCCTTAATCTTCAGCCTGACCTTCTGGCCAGACTCTGGCATCACCTTCCACGGGCAGGTTACCTCAGGCTGATCCTCTGCAGCCTCCTGGAGAGGGGCAAGAGGGACCTGCAGGACAGCAAGCCTCTGGAATAACCAAGCAACACATGTTGGGACTCCAGAGGTTTGCAACAGAACCATCTGGGAACAAATTTTGTAAGAGTCTCACATGGTTTGTACCTCCTGTGCACACCCACGAGTCACTGGAACGGCTGTTAGAGCACCCTGGGCTCCACATCCACCCTCTCCTCCCCTCTCAGCCAGCTGATCCTTCCTCCCATCCCTTCCCCAGCTCCACTATCACTTTCCATCAGGGAGAAGCAGCTCAGCAAACCTTCCCCAGAGCCCAAATGCTGAAGTGTCCCTTGGTGGAGGAGAGCAGGGTCTGTCCCAGGCGTTAGGCAGCACTGAAATAACATCCTGCAGCATCTCTTCCACACACTTTCCCTAAGCAAGAGTCATCTCTCAGCGTTACCCCATGCACACAGCAGTGCTTCCCAGCCAAACTGGCTCAATGCTTGGCTCTGGGAAATCTCATTTGCCCTCCCAAAGAGGCCCCACAGAACCTCCAAGTCACCCAGGAGGCAGGAGAGCTCTCCACATCGGAGACAAAGGAAATGAACCGGGGCAAATCCCCCACCCACGGAAACCAGCCCTGGCATCTGGTGATTCACTGTGATTTACACCAGCTGGCTCTGGCCACAGAGAGTTCAATTCAAACCAGCTGAGGCTCTGGCACAGCCCGTGGGGCTGGAGAAAGAGAAAAGAGAAGGCAGGACAGGGTTGTGTCAGTCAAAACAGGGTCAGACCCGGCTGTAGGTGGGTGTCTTGAGCTCCAGATTTTCGCCCTGGGAGCAAGCAGAGGTGTGGGGATGGGGTGCTGTGGAGATAGGGTGCTGTCCTACAGCGTGTGTGGGGTAGCTGGTTGGTGCCCAATCACCCCACAGGCTCCCTGTCTGGGAAACAGCACTAGGATGGGTTTCCAGCAGGTCTGGAATCTCAGGCAGTGTGGAATTATCATAGCAGTGGTGCAAGGACTGAGAAGCTCAGATGTGGTTAGTGATGCTATTGTGGGGAGAGGCTGCTGAGGTGACTTGGGGTTGTTCTTGTCAGAGGTCTGGACTGAAGTGCAGAGCAATGGTTTCTGTCTGATTGCTGTTTATTGGGGTGGATCCCAAAGCAGTGCAGTTGGGCTGGAGGAGGATCTGCTCCAGGTGGGCTCTATCAGCCTGGATGGTGGAGACCCCCCTGCCGATCCAGGGGCTGAGCCGTGGAGGTGGGAGCTGCTGTCCACCCACTAGTGCTCAGAGCCAGCTGCTTGCCAGCATCTGACTGACGTGGCCAGGATAGGAGGGATGTGCAGCCAGAGCTCCCAGGCTTGTCCCTGCTCAGCTGCTCCCTCTCCACCTGCCCCTGTAGCAGAGCAGCTGCTGCCCAGGGGCTGAGGGGTAACAGCAACAGTGAATATCCACAGAGCTCCAGGATTTCTGTGCCAGGGGAGAACCATCACCATGTTTATCATAACCACGCTGGTGTCCTGAGAACATCCACAGTTGAGCAGAATGATGCCAGAAATCTGTGGGAGCTGCAATGGCCTGTCTGTCCCTTGTCATCCCCTGCTCCACTGAGCAGCTGAGGGGAAGCCTCTCTGGGCTGTCAGGTCACTGCATGCACATTTAGTTCCCTTATAGACTTTTCCTGCAATGTTTATGGCCAGGAACATCTTACCAGTGTGTTGGATCAGGAATATTTTTGCTCCCCCAGCTCAGGGACACCAGGCAGTCACGCCCCACCTGCCACGTAGGCATGGCTGGGACTTTGCTAGCGAATCTCCATCATCTGAACTGCAGTTTTTATGGAATATCCACTCCTTTCTCAATGCATTTCAAGTTTTACTCGATGTTCAGAGTCATGTTAGATGAGAAAAGCAAATGGAATCAGAGGCTGGAAACCCTCAGTCATCAGCTCAGCTTCTGGGTTTTGAGGGGCTTTGGCTGGGTTGTAGCTGTGCAGAGACCTCAGCTGGGTCTCTTGGAGGAGGAAGGGGCCTTGCTTCGAATCATAGCTTTTGGTTTTGGCCCTGACTGGGTAATGCTGAAAGATGAAGCCATGTGTTCCTGTGGATGCTCTCCTGAGGAGTGGGAACAGCAGGCAGAGGTGGGGCAGGAGGATGGTGCTGAGCTGGGGGACTCTTCATGGCCATGTTGAGAGGGGCTGGGGCACACATGGATCAGAGGTGTTGGTACTGAGGTGGTACCTGATGATCTGGGCAAGTATGAGTGTCCAGCTCCTTGAGTTTCCTTCACTTGTTAGTTCCTCCACTCAAACTTTTCAGCTGCTGCTTGGCTCAGGCTGGGTTTGGCTCTGCTGCCAGAGGGATCTGGCAGAGTTGGATCTGGGGTCCATGAGACCTCCTGGAGCATCTCCTCTCCACCTGACAAAGCTCCCC